CACATGAATGTAGAGTGAATTTATCATGAAGTTATCATTGTACAGGAAAAGGCAAAAAAACCCCAAACAGAAACATGTAAGAACACAGAAATTCTGCATTGATAGAATACAGAATCTACCAAACATTTGGGTATTATTGCAGTGTCTGATACAGTAATATGTGACAAGAATGTATTAAAGCAAAGGATGACATTTAGCTGAAGATAGCAAGGTGAATGAGCTGCTATTTGAATGGTAGCATATTAGTATATATTAGCACACATATTAGCATATTAGCATATATTACTAATTTACTAGCTATAAATCCAAAGTAAATGTAGTTACTTTTAATTAAGGTTGTTTTATCCTATCTAAGGTAGCTCATACAGCTATGAATTGCTTATGGTCGATCTAGCTGTCTGGTTTCAACCTGTTCATGTCTCCTTTCCCACATCTAACATTATTCTTCTCCCTGTCTTTTTCACTAGTGTGATGAAAGCTAAACTGAATATACACTACCTTGAATTCTTACTCATGTTTTTGTATTTTGTTACATATATTCTTGTCTTAATTTTTATTTTTTGTATAATTTTATACTGTGCAATACAATAAGTTTTCCTAAAAGAGGAAAAATCATAGATCTATTCAGCTGAACATGTCAAGTAAAAGAATTCTTTTTGTGGACTGTACACAAAAATCAAGTGTCCATTGTCAAATTTCAATGGAGTCAGAAACAACCTCTCCACTCACTTAGGAAATATTACTAGTACATTACTTGGACTTGCTGATTTTCAGTGCTTTCAGCTTTTAATTTTGAGTGAAGATGGTTGAGTTTTACTGGAGATAGTTCTCTTTTACATTTCGAACAAATGCCTTTTAACAGGTTATTATTTTCATGTGCTTCACCGCATTCTTTCATCTCTCTGGCACTCGCTTTTCTGCACATCAGGATCTCAGCCTTTTTTTTGCTGTCACTGACATCAAACACTTTTTTTCAGTCTCTGTTGTTGTCTTCTAATTTCTCCTCTATTCACCCGATCTGCTGTACTCATCTGTGGCTAGTTAAGTTTTGGATTGTTAATCTCTCTTTGATTTAGCCTTCAGTCTTGCTTTCTTTCCTTTCTTTCCTTCAATCATCACCAATATCCAGAACGATCTTTTCCCTCCTCTTTAGCTCTCTTCTTTCTCCCTAACACATTTGCAGACACCTGAGAGTTTTCTATCTCCCAAGTACCATTTAAATATCCTTTTTTCCTACAGTATTGGTAGAATTTAAATCTGTGATTCACATCAGAAATTTATTGTTCTTTCACTAGATTTATGTCACAGTTTCTGCAACTTCATGTTTGAGACTACAAGTCTCAAGCATTTAGTAATCTCAATCAAAGTAGCACTTGGATAAGTGTCCAGCACGTAGTCAAGCTGACTCCCAAAGAACCAGGATGCCCTTGAGAGCCACTTCCACTTTCAAGAGAGACAGGTAGTGTGCACCCCATGGACAGCCCAATTCAGTTTTCAGCTTACTACCTTTCTCTCACTCTGGAGGGATGTGGCATTCTTTAATTTCTTGATTATATCCATCCCTACTTTGTGGCAAGTCTTGAGAAATTAGAAGCCTTTTGTGAGAACTTTTATGAGTATTCGACTTAGTAATCATTCATAAATATCTTCACTCTCTCTTGTGAAAATAGAATATAAATATCACATCACTGTGGCTTTTGTCACAATTTGAACACATCTCATGGACAGTAGCTTATTATGTACTTATTTGTAGCAAAGAGTTGCTTTAGGAGGTTTCTGACTCTGACAATACCTCTAGAGCACAGTGAATGCACTGTCAGTGTTGAAATGACCCCCCTCAGGAAATCCCTCCAGTCTGCTGTACCCACCAGGCTGATTCTTAGCCAGTCTAACTAGCCTTTTTTTTAATAGCAGCTCTCTCACTTTCTGAAATGTTCAGATGTCCCAGCTACCTTTTCAGTATTTAAATCCAGTAGTCATGACAGAGCTTTAAAAATCACTTTCATTGACAAATTTTCGGGAAACATATTCCCTTGTCTCTCCAATGATGCACACATTCTCAGCTAATTACTGTCAGAATTATATTTCTATTCACTGTGTTACCACTAAAAGGTGCAGCAAATACCCAAGGAAGGTGGTATAACAATGCCATCAACCTTAACATAGTAAAGAAGCAAACTGAGATTGCACATGAACAACAGAAACCAAAACCCCCAAAGGCAGAAGCACAGATACAAAAAAGGTACATGCTTAGGGTCATTCTATGAATGCTTTCAGTGAATATCCCGTGGTCTCTTTTTGGAAAGTTAAATGTTACCTCCACCAGGGGAATGTAAAGTAGCATTTTCTCTGCAGAATATGACTCTTCTCTAGAGGAACTCACAAATAAGACACCTTGTCCTATTACATTTCCCATCTATTTGAATGCTGCTATTCAAAAATGAGTGACAGAGAAAACCCTCTGTCTCACAAGCGTGTTTCCTCTGCCAGAGACAAATTTAAATTGATATTTTCTTTTGGTTTTACAAAAGAGAACTCACTCTGATTACATTATTTGGGTCCTTCGTTGGTAATAGAGTACCCAGCAATAAATTTGCTTTCTGTTTACCCTGCCCTCTGTATTTAAATTCTTTTTATCTTCATTTTCTTTTCCCCTCTTTTATCCTTACTTCATGTTTATATAACTTTCCTTCAAAACTCCCCAGTGTCTTCCTGTCATCTCATGTGTATATCTTGCCAGTTCCATCACAAAAATTACTTCCAAATTCCATTGCAGAAGCTGCCCACCTAGTAATAATTAATTGCTTTATTTTTATTCTTTTTCTAACTTTGGAGAAAGTAAATGGAAATACATATTTAAAAGCATTCATGAGAGGCAGACTATCAGTCTCTATATGTATTCTTTGCAACTCATTTTATGTTTTCATTGTGTACTTCCAACATCGAATTAAGCTTTGACAAATGTAACTTCAACAGTTTACTATCTATTTTATCCTAAAAAAAGATGATAGAAAAAAGTTGGATTATTTTTTTAACAGCATGGAAGCTACATACTGAGACCATATGTGGTGTTCCTACTTGGGAATATGCAAAGAGTCCTTGGTTTTAACTGACATCAATTCACACACACCATAAAACATGATTTTTTTCTCTCTGAATATTGACTTCAACAAGTTGCTTATACAGACTTGCTTTTATTTGTCATATTTTATTTATTTTGTAAGGAAATCATGGGAAAGCAAACATTCCTTGCTTGTGCAAATAACTGATTTTTCCCTTTGTCTCAAAACAAAAAGATTCTTCGAACAAATCTGGTTTTTTGCTCATTTTTAACATTTTCCCTCTTGAATATAAAATTTTTAAACATTCCTCTCTTGGGTAGCCATGGCAGTTAGGGAAAAACAATGACATTTAACAATTAACCTGAAAATTATAATACTTATGTCAATGAATAAGTGGGTGGGTGGCAAATCAGGCTTCTATACCCTACACCAGTGAATGGCAAATTGGAGTTAATACAGGATTATTAAAGGGGTACTGAGAAAACTAGAGAGCTCTGATCTGTTACATTTATGGGGCTGAGCTGCTCTTTTAGGTTGCAAAAATTCGGTCACCCATTAAACTTATGTTTTTTACATCACAGATGCACTTCCCAAGCTTCATAAATCCTGTGGTTTGAGGCACAGGAAGGGTGGGAGTGGAGAAAGCAAGTGAGAACATTTAGTAGAATTTCTTTGCTTTACAGGAAGTTTGGCAAATATAGATCTGAACACTTGTGCTCAGCACAAACTTCTATGGATTTGATCACTTCCTCTTTATTCAGTGTGTTCTTCTCCTGACTTATATTTTGGAGGTTAACTAACAGAAGTCAGAGCCTGAGGTATCCCACGGCTGTCTGAAAGGTATGTCAATAGTCTTTGAATATGAACATCTGTGAATTTTTGTTTTATCCTGAATTTCCTAGACTATGAAATCCTCCTTGTTCAGGTAATGTGAAAAAAGGCCTCCATTGATCTTCCATTCTTTCACACTGGAAGAGTGAATCATGTGACAAACAGGAACCTACAGAAAGCCCTGGAAAACTGAACCACTTTTCAAAACATTAATGATGACAGCTCCAATTTGAAGGCACTGAAAAAATAAATATTAAGTAAAGGAAGTTAATCTTTATTCACAGCATTCTCACAAATTAAAGGTTAAAAAACAGGCAGTGCAAGCTCACTAGCAGTTGCCAGCTCATATTTAAAACATTGCCACATCAACTCATTCTTTTGAGATAATGTCACTACACTCACCCTAACACAAATGTTGCTTATTTCTCTTTGCCATTTATTCACTGTTGTGGCAGTAATTAGCAAAGGGCTGTGATTGACTCAGAGAAAACTGAAGACATAAAACAGGAGCATGATGTGAAATGAAATGTCTATTATCGTATTTACACCTTCCTCTTACATTTCACTATAAAAATCATAACTAGGAAGAAAAACAGAGGTATTTTTTCATTCTTAATAATCTTTTCCTCTTTGTTTTAATTTTTCATTTCACATTCAAAGTTTTTTCTGCCCTCTGTCCTTTTTCCACTCAGTTGCCTCTGTTTACAGCAATTTCATTCTGTCTAAATATTAGGCTCTGAGTCCCCAAAGCTAACTAAAAAGCTCTTAAATGTCCCTTGAAGCTACTTCTGCTGCAGATTTCTGCATGCATTAGTTGTCCTGATACAACTATTTTTAGACTCTTAGTGAAAGGATCAAGCTCAGAAAGATAATTCAAGAAAGGTTATCATTACTTGGTTTGGTCCTGGTTTAGCAATATAAGCACAGCATAAGTAATAGATCCAGCACATTTTAGAAAGGAGTTCAGGAGGTCAAACGAGGAGAAACATGACGTCAGAGGTGGTATATGGCAAAAGCCTCCCAAACTAGCTTTGTTCTCAGAGATTTTTCTTCTCAGGGAAGCTCACTTTGCAATTTAAGTTCAAACTGCTTCATGTATGTACTTACCTCCCTCTTTTGCTGCTTTTCCTGCCACCCCTGGGGCTTCCATGAAATGAAGCATTAAAAAAAAAAACCAACAAACTATGCAATTTACAGGAAACAAATGACTTGTGATTCATAGCCTGATATCCTGCTTCATCCTTAATTGATTCCAGTTAGGCATAGCAGGACAGTAGTATTCTGCGTTTTATGGCCTAACAGAAATGTCAGCCATCTGTTTGCACCTGCTGAAGTTGCTAAGGATAAGTATTACAAATCCTGTAAGCGTCTGGGCCTGGATTTCCAGAACAAGAAAGTGCTTTTTTGTTGATGACTGTCAACATGCAGGAATAGATAACAAATGCTAGAGATATGTTTGAGAGAGAATGATCCATCCAATCCAAACGACATGAACAGTTTCATCTATACCTAACCTTCAGAAGGACTGAACAGACATTTAGTTCTTGCAATTTTGCTGTTAAACTATGGTGAATGAACTAAAGTGTAGTTCATTCCCCACTATATTACTTGGGACAGATGGGAAATTAGCATGTCATAAAATTCATAAAAAAGTGGTTGATGATGCTGTCTGCCTCAAGAAAATGATTACATAATGATTGCCTCCTTTGAGAATACCAACAGACTAGGTTAGAGAACAACCAGTTCTCTGATTTACCTATTAGCAATTTTTTTAGATGTTTGATATCCTTCAGGTAAGATGCTTTATATTGTTAACTTAATCCTTTAAGAATTTTAATCCTTAGTATTAAATTTTTAGGTGCTTTGTGTAACTGAGCAATAGTGAAATCCAAGTTATGAATCTTGTTTCAAATATTTGCTCTAATTTAGAAGCTGATTATTTTCTTTCACTATTTCTTAAGATGGTTGAAAAGTTGTACAAAAATACCCTTTTCTTAACAGATCTTATTGTTTCCATACAGCCTAAAAAGGTGGTGGCATTCAGCAAATTCATGAAGACTTTTTGCCTTTGTCTTTAGCAAGTCAGATACTGAACACTGAAAATAGGTGGTTAGAAAGCAACCAGTAATGTATTTTCTGGGCTAAATTAAAAGCAAAACCCAAGCAATTAAGTACGATACTTGCTCCTTGCACCCAAAATGCTTGCAAAAACTTTACAATTCTTAATAATTTTAAGAATGTACATTCAGAATGAAAATTTAAACATAAAAATACTCCTTTTTGGAAATTATATACAACAACATTTTGGTTCACTTTCTGTTCCAGTATATGCCTCAGATTTTTGGAGGCAGGTCTAAAATGAGGGACGCTCTCTGTGGAGCAGACACTTGAGTGTAAGGGCTCATGAGCTCACTCATCCTCTGGGAGAGCAAGATCTTGACACACTCCCATGGGACAGTTCAGACCCAACCATTTCACAGAAAAAGACTAATTCCAGAAGAGTTACTCTTTCCCACCTGCCCTCTTTTTACAGACAAGCTTAGAAGCTGCAGAGGTGAAAATCCATAGTTTACTTCACTGCAAATTTTGTCAGGTTGGTTCAAATCAATGCAATTTAAACTACAGAAGCTAACTTTGCAATGAAATAAATGATCAATGTATGTGGAGTTCTGTCTGGGTTTGCTGTCTACTAGCTGTGGGAAACTCTTCAGTATCTGAGGGATAGTATGAGTTGTTGAGCTGAGATGTAGTGAATGAATCAGGATTTTCCTCTAGAATCCACAAGATTCCTGTTCTTGTGCTAATGTTCAGATATTAAACTGCACTCTAATATTCCTTTGATGTGCTCTGGAATTATAAGTACATGCAAGCCTGAAGTTTAAGGACAGTGGTGCATCTGAGGATTGTCATTAATATATTATGAATTGTTAGCAATGCAAAAAAATTTGAAAATTATCTACTTTTCTATCTTTCTTTGTGAGCTCTTCTTCTGTTCTAGGGTACCAAAGATGATCATTCTACCTTTCAACTTATTCATAAAGCTAAATAACATAACACAGAAAAGACAATACATTTGACATCTCCTTTGTGTGAGAAATTCAATGTTAAAAGCTGCAGTGAATTAAGTAATTCTCTTGTGAGTGATAAACCACAATATATTGAGGGTGTGGAATTACAGAGAAATGTTACTTCAAAATAAACCTGGTGAAGAAGATAAAGTTAATAATATAAAATCTATTTATTTGCTTTTTTTAAAAAAAAAAATTGTTTTTATTTGGAGAATGAGGAAGTTCCCCTGCAAATATTCTCCTTTGGAAGGAGGGAGCTCCTTCATCAGTTCTCAGAGAAGCCCTTGCAGGGGCTCCAGGGAAGGTTGCAGAAGCCTGTCCTTGGATGCTAACTATGAAAGCAGTAACAAATATCTACATGCTTTTCACCTACCTACAACTATCCATCACTCTAACGTAATATAATCCACTACTAGGTGAATTCAAATGGCAACAAGCCATCAGAAAATCAGGGATAAGGGAAGCTGGCTGGCTCAGGTCAGATGGCACAGCTAGGGATGAAAGAGAGAGAAAAGGAGTTAAAGTGTGCAAGGAGGCAACAGAGTGTTTTGATCAGGTAGGTGTTCCCTGCCACAACATCTCTGATTGCCATATTTACTCAGGATGCAGATAGACACCTTTTTCCCAGGCATACAAGAGGGACTAGCAGTGCTATCACTTACAGCTGGGCATAACCATGTCTGAGCTGGAAGTTAAAACCCGCAAAACTCAGCTGGCAAAATAGAAAGTCAGAAGTGCTTATCTGCACCAGTGCAGTCAAATTAAGTCAAAAAGGTGTAAAGAAAATGAAGATTTGGGCATTGCAGTTCGTGAAGGCACACCCAAATGACTGTTTTATGGAAGCAAATGCTTTCTGCATGGGAATAGTGGCTCCCAAGATATTTAAACTACTCCAGCTCTTTTCAAAAGGAACATTCCGTCAATTGCCTTGAAATCTGATAGAATGAGGGGTCAGATTAATGATCCAAATATGCTGTCACTTAAGGACTGTCCCAGCACAGTCACCTTAGACACACAGGTATATAAACACACACACACCTCAAAGCTTTCCTGAAGATTGACAGATTCTGTCAACTTTGCGTACACAGATGACATTCAATCTATTATTCCAACCAGTTCCCAAAGGCCTCAGTCATTCAAGATTTATATCTCAGCTTGTTGATGGAATCCACTTTATTTCTAGCAAAGAAATTCTGAACAAGGAAATTGGAGTTAAGCAGTTCACAGAAATATGAACCTAACCCTTTGGAGAAAAGATTTTGTGCCATATTTGCATTTAGCTGACAAAGTTCAAGAAAAGCTATTTCTACACCCATTTACTGGTACAATCACAGCAATGGTAGGCTGAAGTAAGGAATACAGGATGTCCTTATGTCTTTCCATCACATCTATGCAATGATTACTCAAAGACCATCCTCATCTCATATCACACATTTTCAATAATTAGTATTTTCAGGAAAAGCAATTCACAATTCAGGGAACTCCTATGTAAGACATAACCGTATACAATTTTCTTGATGAGAATTCTGAATCTTGTCAGCTCCAGAGTGAAACAGAAGATTTTCGGGACCCATGGCTTTTGGAAGCTCAAATATTTTTAATATTCTTTATACGCTGGAAGGTATAAGACAACTAAGCCTGACTTAGTTATAGGTTATTGATGTATTTGTTACTGAGAAATAACAAAGGGTTTTTTAATTATTTATTTTACTTAAAAGTATTTCTTTGCTTCCTTTAGAAAGGGTTTGAAAGCAAGACTGAAGTTCCTACGCCTTCTTTTTTTATGAAGCCTTTTTTTTTACTTCCATGTGAATGATACCCTCATCCTTTTTGTTTCCTGACAAGACTGTGTAGAGAGGTCATTTTTTTCCTGTGGTGAACATACAGATGTCACCTGGCATGGCATTGCTAGGTGAGCTCTTACCACATCCAGGTGCCATCCAGCTGCTCCACTGCCAGTGTCTCTCTGAATGTGACCCACAGCAGCAGAAATTAACATCCTGAGGACTATACAACTTACCAAACTGGGAATGAGCAAGCCACAGAATCACTGATCCTTCACGTAGGGGAATATCAGAATTTTTATGGTGACTTTGATGCTCATTACCAGTTCAGCTATTTCCCATTACTCTAGAGATATAAAGAGGAGAGACTAAATAAAGTTTAGTCCTTTGTAGGGGCCAACAGTAAGATCCTTCAGCTTATTAAAAATATTAATTCAGTTTTGCATATTCCATCTGTGTGTAACCCTTCTAAAGAGTTCTTAAGTAAAGGTCATTTTTAATTTCTTAACAATATTTCCCAGAACAGACTATTTAAGAATGACAGAATCCCCAATACTTAAAGCAAATGAATATATGCAATATATGCATGTCACTAAATTTAAGCATTTGTATTAGATTTAAAACAAACAGGCAGCTTACTAACCAGATCAGTACAAAAGCAGTTTCTGTAATCGAGTTGGCACCAGTTCACAGAAAATATAATTTGAAAAGGTTCACATTTAAATGAAACTTGCTTTTCATGCTCAAATGTCATTCCAAACTGCAAGGATGAGGTATTAACCCTTCATTCACTTCTATTTAATGAAACTCATCACTGAGCTTGAATAACCTTGACTGTATATATTAACCAAATAAAAAAATAAACAAAAAACCCTGTATTGCAATCACTTAATTCTAAGAAATACCAACTACAAATAGATGAATAAACCTACAGTTTTCAGCTAAACTTTTGCCCTTAGATTTCATCATGGGTGGGGCAACCTAATCCCTAACTTTATCAATTATGTCTTTCAAAATGAACCATTCACCCCTTTTTCAGTGGTGTTTTCCCCCACATTTGTGGAGCCAGACAGCTGGGGGCTGTCTATCTCCCAAAAAAAGGAGCCAAAAAAACCCTTCAGGGGCAGTCAGGGCATCACCCATTCTAGTCACCACCTTATGCACCTGAACAGAGGAGAGCGTTAAGTCCCCTTCCATTCATTTAGAGCTCTGCTCCAGACAATGCTGACAAAACTATTCCAAATACGGAGCTTTTCTGTCTCATTACTATCCTGAGGGACTTGGA